CGATCATATCAGGCTGATCTTAATAATCTGAAAGTTTTCAGATCTAACAGTCAGAAAAATCAGAAAGTTAACAATCTGGAATGAATTACAAGTTTTTGGACTTCGGGAAGTTTGAAGTTTTAAAATGACAGTAATATGTCAAAGACATGCTTTCTAAATATTTTGATTTTATTTTGACTGTTGAAGACTTAAGTAACAAAAAAAAATCACTCGTTGAAAATGGTATTATTGTAAGTTATGCTGATTGACCATAGTACACCTTCCGTAGTATACCTTCGATGCCATTCTGGGATGTCATGCTTCGTGATAGCTGGTAATCATGGTGTGAAAGACACAGGCAGAGAGGAGAGAGGGGCACAGCACAGTGCTCAGTGGGGTCAAGTTATGTGCTTCATTTTTGTTCTCTGAGTCTATTTTGATTATGTATAATGCTGTTGATCTCTCTTTTGGGTAGTCTCAGCTCTTGTTGTTTTTACAATTTGGAGTTTCCAACTATAAATCTGAGAAATAGGCTAGTAAAAATGATGGTATGCCGCATAGCATAGCTAGAGAATGTTCTTTTTGTTGGTGGTGCCTTTTTTCAGACAGGGTCTTGCCGGGTAGCTCAGGCTGGATTTGAACTTGGGATCCTCTTGCCTTGATCTCTAGAATTGTAGATTACTAGCAGGTATTACTAGCCTATTCCTTAGGAGTAGCTCAGGCTGGATTTGAACTTGGGATCCTCTTGCCTTGATCTCTAGAATTGTAGATTACTAGCAGGTATTACTAGCCTATTCCTTAGGAACTATTAAAGGCAGCCGGGCGTGGTGGTGCACACCTTTAATCCCATCCCTCAGGAAGGCAGAGGCAGGCATGTCTGTGAGTTCTAGGCCAACTTGGTTTACAAAGTGAGTCGAGGACAGCCAAGGCTATACGGAGAAAAGCTATCTCGAAAACAAGCAAAACCAAACAAGTTAATGTCTTTAGTATGTTCTATAATTTTTTACGAAGTATAAACACTTATAGGAAATAACTTAATGGATTGTGGCATTGTTACTTTTCTTTCAACGTTTCTACCCTTATAATTGAATACTGAACACTTGAGTGTTATTGACAGCTTGGATTAGATTGAAGTCTTTGAAATGTGCTCTCAGATAATAGTCAGCAAACTCTGTATTTCTGTATTTTAAATATACTTTAAAGGATCAAAAGAAGGACAATACTGAAACTTCAGTTTCATTGTCTACAGATAGTGTTAAATCTTCCCAAAATTTATGACTCTTTTTGTGTTACAGTGGCAAAGATGAGTAGTTGTGACAGAGACCATACATTTGTAATTCTCATCACTTTATATTGCTCTTAGATTGTAAATTTTAGTGATATAGTTATAATGTGACAGCATGCTGAGTGCTCTGGCTGTTGTTGGTTTGTTATTTGTTTTCTTTATTACTAGTTCATGTCCATCAGAACAAGAGAAAATGGATGTTGAGTGATGTGTGTGTTTGCGTGACACACAGATCCCTGTTAGCACATATGTTCTGGAACTAAAACCCAAGTGTTGTACACGTTAAGTATGTACTCTACCATGGAACTACACCCTTACATTTTCCTTATTATGCAGTAACAGTAAAATTGGGATAGAATAATAGATGTTGGCATCACCAGAGTAAACATACTGCAGCATTCCCAGCTTTTGGGTTTATAATTGGAAATTTTGAAATGAAGTATCCTATCAGGGCATCATTTCTTCCTAAAAAATAAAAATTAAAAAAAAAAGTGAAGTTACCATTAAAACAACTTTCCAATGGACTCATTTGCTAGCTGAGCAGAGTCATTTACTGATGTTGAGTTAATGAAATTGTTGGATCACGGAAGTCAAAAAAGTTATATCCAGAGACTTGTTTAAAACTCTTAGCTTTTTGGCAAGAAAATTGATTTTTACATGTAAGGACCTCTGGGGTGGCTTTGGTAGTCAATGAAAAAGCAAGGCTCATCGTTTACAGTGGCTCCCGGCTCCCGGCTCCCGGCTCTCGGCTCTCGAGGGGTTGCCGGGTGTTACTGATGCTTGGGTGTTACTGATGCTTGTCAGTATTTGCTAGAGAACTCAAGTTTAAAGTTGCAGGACAATTAGCCTTGCGAATGTGCTTTGTGAGCACTTAGAGACAAGTGTTTTCAAAGCTGAGGGAACACATAGGCAACAAAGGAGTGCAACCTACCAAGCTGTGCCACAGTGGATAGTGTTAAGTATGCACGGAACAGAGAGATTTATGCAGATTCACAACACTAATAAAAACTGTCAGATGTTCAAAGCCTGGGATTGCTCAGTGTGTTAAGCGTCAGCAAGTCCTTTGCCGTTCACTATCGTGGAGTTAAACTAGTGTTGGTTCCATGAATACTTGTTAACAGCAAAAGCCGAGTATGCTGACTGGCTTGGTGATGGATGGTAAAGTATTTTGTTTGTTTTTACAGTTGTTTAAAGGCCGAAATTGAAGTTTTTATGGTCAAAGATTGTCAGTTACTATTATCAAATATGGTTTACTTTTGAAAATTGTTTTTCTTCAGATTTAATTTAATGTTATTTTAAATGAATGCATAAAATAATGCATACATGCCAGACATGGTGGCACACGCCTTTAATCCTAGCGCTCAGGAGGCAGAGGCAGGTGAGTTCAAGGCCAGCCTAGTCTACAGAGTGAGTTCCAGACAGCCAAGGCTACACAGAGAAACCCTGTCTCAAAAAAAAAAACCAACCAACCAACCAAATAGGTATGTCTACCTAAGATAGAGAAAATGAAAACAATGCACACTTCGTGACGCATGACGCACTTTCATAGACTTGAGTGCCATCACAGAAGGCAGATCGTCAGTCCTGCACAGATATACTGGGCATAGTTTCAGCCCTCATTAGAGACCTTGTGGCCTCCACGGGCGCCTTCATGCATGTGGTGCACATACATACACTCAGGTACATGTACGCAGAAAGTAAGAACAAATAAGATCTAAGAATGTGATTGATAGTGAAAATATAAAATCCTAAGTGAAGCTCGTGGGCTTCAGGGTGGCCATTCTAACCATAGAAGCTTATTACTAGTATAGCTAGGGCCTGGGTGAGTGTACATTTGAGTGAACAGTAATCTAGCTGGATCATATTTTTATTTATGAGTTTATTACAACAAAGTTTTGTTTTTCGAGACAGGGTTTCTTAACAGTCCTGGATGTCCTGGACTCTCTTTGTAGATTAGGCTGGTCTCGAACTCACCTGCCTCTGCCTCCAGAGTGCTGGGATTAAATGGGTGTGCCACCATGCCTGACAAACAGTGATTTTTATGTTAAAAGCTTAATTTCTTTAAAAAAAAAAAAAAGATAAATACATAGAAACTCATTTCAGATCAGTGAATGAATGGGTGAATGTTCACAAGAAATCTTGGGAATAGGAGACCCTAGTAAGTGGGGTAATCTGTTTCCCCAGAGAGTCCATTCTTATCAGCAGACGAGTATTTTCCAATGGATATTACTTGAGTTTTGTCCATGAAGCTTGTGGAAACCTTTTCTCTTGTTATGTAAAATGTGTACATGATTTTGCCTGTTGGCCTACAGAAATTGAAATACTTAGGATTTCTCTCTTTAAATGAAAAAATGTTGGCAAATCTTTGGGTGACAGTGGAGCTTCTCAGATAGCGATGCTCACAGAGCCTTATTAAAATGCAGGGTCTGGGCTGCAGAGGGACCACTCTTAGCAGAGCCGGTTTCATGTGAGCTAACAAGTCTCTGGTGTTGTAGGTGGATTTTCAGGCACTGCCAGTGCACTCGTAAAACACCTGTTCTGTGCCAGAATCTGTGCTGGGGCACTCCCATATATTCCATCTTTAAAAAGTCTTTGAAAGTGTTAGAAACTAAGGAAGCGAGGCAGCATGGGGTGCCTGTTTTTGTTTAATGACTCCCTCCCCTTGTGCATATCTTATGGTAAGGTTTAGGTCCTAGAAGAACCTACACATGTGCAAAAAACAGTGGGAAATAAAGTAGCTAGTTACTCCCTGGCTGGTCCTGAACTAAGGAGAGCTTGTTGTCTTCCTAAGTGCTGGTGCATTAGCAAACAGGTATTAGAGCAAAGGAGAGTATGGGAAATGCAGATGCTTTAGAAACATTTTCTCCTAGTCTTCTACTTCTCTTTTCATCTGAAATGTCTTTTATACTAACAGACCTTTAAAAGTTTGATAATGTCCAATTCATTAGTTTTTAAAAATTAAAATGTTTTAATTGTAATATATATTATAATATAAATTTCTTCCTTTTTTCAAAGTACTAAGGATTGAATCTAAGCCTCAAGTATGCTAGGCAAATGCTCCCTTTGTAGTTCACTTATGACTCACAACTAATATTGTGTCCTACTCACCTCTTATTAGACTAGAATTGGCATTGTAAAGGATTCTTCAGTTTTTGAGATGACGTATGTGACCCCATGCTAGCTCTCTGTGTAGCCTAGGCTAGCCTTGAACTCATGTCCTTTCTGCCTTAGCCTCCTTAATGTTAGGTTTGTAGGTGTGTGCCACACCTGGCTTAGATAGGATCTTATTACTCTGTTACAGCAGGCTATCGTTTCATGGAACATCTTTATGTAATGTGCCTGTGTACTGAGTTGGGTGTATTGTGGTCTGTGGTCAAAACTATAAATCTATTATAAGATGTTTTATTAAATGGGGTGCACCTTTTAAAAATTATAGTTTGTGTGTGTGTATTTTAAGACAGGGTTTCTCTGTGTAGCCTTGACTGTCCTGGACTCACTTTATAGACCAGGCCAGCCTTTAACTCACAGCAATCTTCCTGCCTCTGTCTTTCTGAGTTCTGGGATCAAAGGCATGCACCACCACGCCTGGCTAAGTCATAGTTCCTTAATTTTCCTTAATAAGTTCCTTATTGCATTTGTTTGTAAATTTTATATTGTAGATTCACTTTGTGTAATGTGTGTGTGTGTGCGCGCAAGTGCATATACACATGTGTATGTGTTGCTTTTGTCTTAATAGGTGCAATGGATGAGCTTCACAGTCTGGATCCAAGAAGGCAGGAATTATTGGAAGCGAGATTTACTGGAGTTGCAACTGGGAGCACCGGGAGTACAGGGAGTTGCAGTGTTGGTGCGAAAGTGAGTAAAATTTTAATCTCATTTCAAGTCTTTTCTTTGTGTTAAGTGGTCAAGAACATACTTAATAGGGCTGTTGAGCTGTCTTGACCAGAGTTCAAGCCCCAGGACTCTCATGTTGGAAGGAGAGAACCAAGTCTTACGTCTTGTCCATTGGCCACCATAGTGTGTGCACCCCCCTAGTATAAAACACTAAAACTACAAAATATCTTTTGTGCAGGAGCCATATATATATAGATATATGCCAATGAGAAACTTACTACTCTTTAAGGTTTTTATAATGCATAGAAGAAAAGTTAGTATTTAGAAACTTGATTTCTTTTTATTTGCTGTGCAGAAGATTTCTATATTAATGCAGTTGTGTTCGGTAAATCTTGCTGTTATTTTTTTGAGCAAAATGTCCTTGCCTATACTCTGCTGAAGCAGTTTCTAATGTGAGGTCTTACATGAAATTCTTCACTCCGTTTTGAATTGATTTTTGCATAGAGAGGGAGGAATCTAGTTTCCTCATTAAATTTGAATATACATTCTTTCTCTCCAACATACATTTTTTAGCACCTTTGTTGAAAATCACGTGGCTGTACCTGTGTGGGCTTCTGTGTTCTGTTTCATTGATCTGTGCATGTTAGTCTCAGTAGCATATTGCATCTGTTAACAGGTCTGTAGTTTAATTTGAAATTGGACATTGTGATACCTCCAGCCTTTTTTTTTTTTTTTTTTTTCTTTCCTGCTTAGAGTGTCTTTGGCTACCTGATGTCATTAATATTTCCAAATGAGTTGTAGGATTTTTTTTTCTCTTTCTGTGAAGAATGTGCTTGTCTTTTGATGGAGGATTATGAGGAATATATAGATTATGTTTTGGTAACATAGCATTTTCACACTATTATGCTAGTCCTTGAGCTCTGTTTTGTAGTGTCACCAGTTTTTCTTTAATGTTTTCATTGTGGATTTCTTTCACCTCCTTGGTTAGGTCTGTCTATCTATCATTTATCTACCTATCAGCATACACACGTTTGAAATTTTTACACCATGTTATCTCATCATGAATTTTACTGTGTTCTTGATTTCCTTCTTAGTGTTTGTTGTTGATATATTAAAAAGCTACTGGTTTGTATGTAGGACATATGTCCTGATACTTTGCTAAAAGTCTATCAAAAGTAAGAGCTTTCTGGAGGCTTTGGAGTCGGACCTGTTATCTCTAAAAAGGAGTGATTTGAGCAAGTTCCTTGCCTACTCAGGACTTCGTTTCTTGCTCTTGTTTTATAATTGGCTAACAGTTCAACTACCATATTGAATAAGTGAAGTGGTGGAAACCTGTCTTATTACTGATTTTAGAGGAAAGACTCCGTTTTCTCCTCATTAAGTGTAATATCTTAGAATCAGCCGTTACAATGTTGCAGTATGATCCCCTCTGCTGTTAGTTTCTTCAGCATTGTTCATGAAAGGATGTTGAACTTTGTCCAAAGAACTTTTCCACATCTGTTGAGACTGCTGTGATTTCTGTCCCTGGGTCTATTCAAATGCTGCATTACATATTCTGATGTGTATGTGTTAAATCATCTTTTATTCTTCTCATGGTAATTTCATGTTTCTTATTTTGAGAAACTACCATACTGTTTTCCAACTGTTTTTTAAATCCTCATCAGCAATGTACAAAGAGTATGGTTTCTCTATCCTTGTCAGTATTTGGTTATTATCTCTCTTAGTATAGCATTCTGGTTGGTGTAAAAAGTAATACTGTATAACATCTCCTTGTTGACAACTTAGTTCTCTGCTGATCTATGCTTTTTTCCTCAACCACACTTCAGTGTATTTTTGTGGTACATTTTAAAAGTGAAGTTTTGGTAGGAATTACAGATGAATGTTTAGGTTAGTTTAAGTATTGCAGTCTTAGTTATCTAGTCTAGGCATAAATGTCCTTACATTGTTTAGGTATCTTGTTTTCTTTTAATGATGTTTTGTGGCTTTTGGGGGGTGTGTGTGTGTGTGTGTGTGTATGTGTGTGTGTGTATGTGTGTATACCACTTGCATTTGTTTAAATTTCTGAGTTTCTCCTTCTTTTTCACAGTAGTATTTATTAAAGGTATTCAGTTTTGTTTGTTTTGTTTCTCTTTTAATGGAATTAACCTCTTCACTTTATTTTCAGGTGTTTATTGCTGTTGAATAAAAAGTACAGTTGAATTTTGTGCATGGCTCTTGTGTCCTGTAACCTGGTTGAACATACTTATTAGCTCTGCTAGTTTTATCAACAGCAGTAAGCTTAGAGTTACTCAGTGTTCCCATGTACACGATACTGTAGGCAGAAGAGCAACTCATGCCACTTGTCAGATCTTCCAAGAGGCCCTGGGATTGACATCTATCACCATAGGTTTAGCCAAAAGAAAAAGTTCAATTCCTATTTCCTCGTCAGTTGTGGTTGAGTCACTAATGGCCCAGTGTTCTCCTTGATTAAACATGACAGCTACTACATCTACCCCACAGACCCTCTCTTAAGAAAGAGTAACAGCGTGAGCTATGTCTTAGAGTACAGCTGCTGTTTTTACTGTTGAGTTATCCCCATAGGGAGAGAGAATTTGGAATGTGTGTGCACTTAGGATGTCATTTTCCTAGCTTGCTGGGTTTTCTGAAAGGCACATCTGATTGCGTGCTGAATTTCTCAGAAACTTAAATGGTTTCACATAGTTTTTGAGTTTTGATTCCTGCCTTATCTTGTGGACCAATTTTATGCTTCTCTTCATTTTTCATCACACTTATACTTTTATCTAGTCTAACAAACTGATGTCTCAGCAGGTTTTTCCTGTCTTTTTTTTTTTTTTTTTACATGCAGTTGACCTTGTTCCACATGGCCATGACCAGTTCTGATATCGGACTCGGCACTGTCTTAGATGAGGCAGTGTCCTGAGTGTTCCTCTGACTGCCTGATTGCCTAATCACAAATGTGCTGTATCTGAGCTTACTTTATTATGTGACATTTTAATTGTTTATTTTCTACTAGACTAATAAAATGTTGAGGACAAAGACTTGTGTATCTTAGTTTAGGGGATGAAATAACTTGAGTTCAAAGCAGGCCAGGTGTGGTGGTACTTGGGGAGGCAGAGGCAGGCAGATCTCTTATGACTTCCAGGCAAGCCTGGTCTACAAAGGCCAAGGCTACAAAGAGAAACCCTTTCTCATTCAAAACAGGGCTGGAGATGGCTGAGTGGTTAAGAGTATTGTCTGCCTCCCAGAGGATCTGCGTTTGATTCCTAGCACAGCACACATGGAGGCTCATGACAGTCTATAGCGCTAGTCCTAGGGGCTCTGATGCCCTCTTCTGTTTTCTGTGGGCAGGCATGCAAGTGATGCACAGTCATACATGCAGGCAAAACATACCTAAATCTAAAATAAAATTTAAAAACATTTAACTTAAAAAACAGAAATAAAAATGGTATGCCTGGTTCTAATCTGGTTTTGGGAATGATGGAGATTAAGTTTATTTAAAGTAGTTTGTTTTGAGTTTTTCTTTTTCTTCCCTTGTAATGGACATTAAAGTGACGGCCTTATACATGCTAGACGAGCACTCTGCCACTGAGCTGTATGCCTATCCCAAGAAGATTTGTTTTAAGACTTGAATTTATTTTAAAAAGTATTTGGGAAAGTATTTGAACAGTACCTGGACTTAGCACAGGATCATGCAGCCTTCTAAACTTGTTCTTGTATTATTCTCTTACCGGTAGCCAGAGCTAGCAAGGTTTCTGGAAGTGAAATAGAGCTAGTATTTGGTTTACTAATAATATTCTTTACCTGTAAGCTGTTGGTATCAGATAAGAATAAAAACCAAAGTTATCTATTTAATATGTGTGTATAGGGAAGTCAGGGTCTAACACATGGTAGGCAAGCTGTCTACATTTAAACTGTCTGCCCAGTATTCTCAGTATATATTTTAAAGTATTCATTATGGCCAGGTGATGGTGGTGCACGCCTTTATTCTCAGCACATGGAAGGCAGAGGCGGGTGGATCTCTGTGAGTTTGAAGCCAGCCTGGTCTACAGAGTGAGCTCCAAGCCAGCCAGGGCTACACAGAGAAACCCTGTCCCTAAACAAACAAACAAACAAACAAACAAACAAAAAGTGTTATGTGTAATGTTTCATTTAGTGTTTCTGGTTTGCAGACAGAATTATATACCTGCCTCAGATATTTTAGTCATTCTAATAATAGCCAGAGAAGAATAGGCGTAGTGAGTAACTGTTATGTAGGTATATTTGGTTTAACACATTTATCATCTAGTTCATGGGAGTTAATAGAGTTGTTAGAATATTTTGTAAATTAAACCTACATTTCAAAAATTCTGTTAAAATATGAAATGTTCTAACTAAATCCATTAGCATAGTTGATGGATTTTTTTTCTTCCTTATTTTGTTTTATTGTTGTTGTTTTGAGACAGGGTTTTTTTCCTTTACAGGCTGTCCTTGAACTAGTTTTGTAGACCAGGCTGACCTTAAACTCTTAGATTGCTTGCCTTTGCCTCCCAGGTGCTGGGGTTAAAGGTGTATACTACTATGCCTAGCAACTGAAAGATATTTTAAAGTAGTATGTCAATGAACTGAAGACATCTAAGGAAATGGGAGCATTTCAGCAGGTTTTTTCTTATATTTATAGGCGCAGACTGAAATCTAAGCTTCTACATTTACTGTTTAAAATTAATTGAAAACTAACAGGACTAGCGCAATAATAGATTAATAATTTGGTAGCTCACAGAGCTAAGAACAGAATAATGACAATGCTGATTGAAACTGCCGGTGGGAACTGAAGCCCAGTACATTTTACAAGTTAATGCTAGTCAGAACACCTGGCTAAGTGCGAAGATGGACAGGTCATCTTGATGAATTGGTGATTTCATTTTCTTTTTAGTCTACTTCAGCTTTTTTGCTAAGCCATTTTGAAGTATTTACATTTTATACCAATTACTGGATTTTATTTACAGAAAAAGGTAGTTTTAGCTGTCTTGAGGGGAAGAGGTTTG